GTAAAAGTATATAGAACCATATATTTTTGGAATCCGTGTCAAGTAACCTATCATATTATACAAGAGGTAATATTTTACTTAACTGGAAGTATCAAATTATCTCCCTTATTTCGGACAAAAGTGTATAGAAACCATATATTTTTTTGAATCGGTACTCACTATAATCTAAGACTGGAAATGACATTTTAGACTCGATTTTGATATTTTTAGATACAGCCTAAATATGTTACACTCCTAGACAATGAAGATGGTTTCATGGTAGATTGATCACTCATCTGGAGACATAGCATGTAAGTATTTGGTATTTTTAATTGTTCCTTAAACTATGTTTATATGGTTTGCAGGTAACAAAAATCAGTTTTCCCTGGAACAACAGCTTAAATTAGATTTGATTACAAATTGGTTTGAAATTTCTTTTATTCAAATTTATACTCTTATGAAGATAAGTTTAATGATAATGTATAGAAATTGTTTATATACTTGTCTTCAAATTAGGATTTGTCATAAAAAACGAATCATATTAATTTTGAATTAATTGCAACAATCAATATTCTCTATTTAAAGCTGATACTGATTTAGAATTTTTGTTTTTGTTAGATACAGACTAGATATGTTACTCCTTGACAATGAAGATGCTTTCATGGTATATAGCACACGAAGATACATATCATGTAAGTATTTGGTCATTATAATTGTACTTTTATATCTTTTTATATGTGGAAGGTAACAAAAATCAGTTTTCCCCTTGAACAACCATTTAAAATTTATTACAAATTTGTCTAATATTTCTTTTATTCAAATATTTACTGTAATAAGTTAAGTAATTGTAAATATACTAAGTCTCAAATTTAGGATTTGACAAAACATGCATCACATTAATTTCTGAATTGATTGCAATAGCAAATATTCCCTTTTTAAAGCTGATACTAATTTACAATTTTTGTTTTTCATACAGATACAGCCTAAATATGTTACTCTTCGACAATGAGATGGTTTCATTGTATATAGCACATTAGGATTAGTTACATGTATGTATTTATTCATTACAATTTTTTTCTTTAAACTAGGTTTATATTTGTTAGGCATTAAAAATCAGTTTTCACTGAAACAACAGATTGAAGCTTTATAACAAATTGGTTTAAAATTTCTTTTATTTTTATTTATATCCTAATGAAGTATATTTTAATAAGAATGTATAGGTATTGTAGATATACGTCTCCAATTTAGGATTTGACATAAAACATGCATCACATTAATTTCTGAATTGATTGCAACAGCAAATAGCTTTTATTTTGAAGCTGTAACTAATTTCAAATATTTGTTTTTGTTACAGATAGCCTAAATATGTAAGACTCCTATACCATGAAAGATGCTTCCATTGCAGATAGCATATTAGGATTAGTCACATGTAAGTATTTATTCATAACAATTGTTCTTAAAAACTATGTTTATATTTGTTAGGTAATAAAAATCAGTTTTTCCTGGAACAACAGCTTGAAATTTTATTACAAATTGGTCCTACATTTCATTTATTGAAATATTCACTGTAATGAGATATATTTTAATAAGAATTCAAAACGGAAAACCCTAATCAAATGGCAAAATCAAAAGCTCAAACACATCAAATGAATGGATAACAACTGTTATATTCCTGACTTTGTACAGGCATTTTCTTATGTAGAAAATGGTGGATTAAACCTGGTTTTAAAGTTAGCTAAACTTCTCGCTTGTATGACAGTCTCATCAAATTCCATTATATTGACAGTGATGTGTGAACAAAACAAACCGACACAATAGGTAAACATGTCACAAATAGGGGTACAACAGCAACACGAACCCCACCAAAAACGGGGTGTGATCTCAGGTGCTCCGGAAGGGTAAGCAGATTCTGCTCCACATGTGGCACCCGTCGTGTTGCTCATGTTATAACAAAGCTGGTAAATAGTCTAATTCAGTAGGTCACATTCGTGAAAAGGGAATGGGATTGTAGTTACGACATAAGGAACACGAAGTGATGATTTCAACTTTACCATTTGGAACTCTTGGTTTTGTATGGTGATTGTAAAAATTCTTGTCTCCAATGAAGGATTTGACATAAAACATGCATCACATTAAGTTCTGAATTGATTGCAACAGCAAATAGTCTGGATTAAAAGCTGACATTAATGTATATTTTTTTTTGTTTTCGTTGCAGATAGCCTAAATATGTAAGACTCCTATGCCATGAAAGATGCTTCCATTGTAGATGCACATTAGGAATAGTCACATGTAGGTATTTGGTCATTACAATTTTTTCTTAAAACAATATTTATATTTGTTAGGTAATAAAAATTGTTTTTTTTCTGAAACAACAGATTGAAGCTTTATAACAAATTGGGCTAAAATTTCTTTCATTCAAATTTATACTTTAATGCTGAATATTTTAATAAGAATGTATAGTAATTGTTTTTATACTTTTTGGGATTTAACATAAAACATGCATCACATTATTTTCTGAATTGATTGCAACAGCAAAAAGTCTGGATTTAAAGCGGAAACTTAATTTATAATTTTTGTTTTTGTTACAGATTATACAGCCTAAATATGTAACACTCCTATACCATGAAAGATGCTGTCATTGTAGATAGCACATTAGGATGTTGCACATGTAGGTATTTGGTCATTACAATTTTTCTGAAAACTATGTTTATGTTTGTTAGGTAATAAAAAAATCCATTTTTTTCCTGAACAGTTTGACAAAAAGATGCTTTATGTTAAAATGGCTCTCTTAAAAGCAGACCTCTGCAGAGAGCAAACTTTAGATTTTGATATAACATTGATGAATTTAATGGGTGCTAATCTCGTGAAAACAGATCCCCCAACAGAGCTGATTACATAGTATGATGAAAACTTGTGTTTATGGTAAAATGTATTTAGTTTTTTGTCTGGCTCCATTTCATTATCAACCAATTTGAAACTTTATTACAAATTGGTCTAAAAATATTTTCTTCAAATTTACATTCTAATGAAATATATTCTTAATGGAATGTATAGTAATTATAAATATTCTTGTCCAACATGCAAAAGATTAAATTCTGAAAAAATTGCAACAGCAAATAGACTCTCAAGCTGATATTAAGTGATAGTTTTTGTTAAAGATACAGCCTAAATATGTTGCACTCCTAGACAGAAGAAGATGGATTCATGGCACATAGGAAGAGTCAACATGTAAGTATTTGGTAATTACAATTGTACTTAAAACTATGTTAATATTTGGAAGTCAATAAAACTCTGTTTTCACTGAAACAATAGCTTAAAATTTTATTACAAATTGGTCTAAAATATCTTTTATTCGAATTTCAAATGTGGTATATTTTAATAAGAATGAAAGAGTAATTGTAAATTAATTGTCCGTAATTTAAGATTTAACATAAAACGTGAATCACATTAATTTTATAATTTTTTCAACAGCCATTAAACATTCTCTATCTAAAGCTGATTCTTATTTTAATTTTTTCTTTTGTAACACATACAGCCCAGATATGTTCCACTCCCACACAATGTAGATGGTTTCATGGTAGATGACACATTAGGATGTTTAACATGTAAGTATTTAGTCATTACAATTGTACTTTAGACTGTTTATATGTGTTGGGTAATAAATATCAGTTTTCCCTGGAACAACAGCTAAAATAAAATTTTATTTCAAATTAGTGAACATATTTTTTTTTTGTTCAAATTTATAGTCTATTGAAGTAAATTTTAACATGAATGCGTAGTAATTGTAAATATACTTCGAGTCCAATTTAGGATTTGACATAAAATATGAGTGACATTTATTTATAATTGATTGCAACAGCCAATAGTCTCTATTTGAAGCTGGTAAAGTCTTTCCACTTTTCCGTGAAAAGACTTAATGCTTTTGTTCTGATTATTATAATTTGTTTTTTCTTCCGCCTAATTTTTTTCCTTCACTGTTTGGTTGTTTTGCAAGATGTCGCTTAGATATTTGGTATATGATATCAAACAGTTTATACGCTCTTGAAACTGACACCGCTTAACCGAATACTTTTCTATGTAAGAGTTATCTCCCCGAACACTGTTTTTCTTGATATTTCTTATTCTTCGCAACCTTAGAAGAAACCGACTAATTTATTTTTTCAAATTACTCGTTATATCCTGGATGTTACGTTTCATTTTGACTGAAGCGTTGCGAAGACTCCATATGAGAGTTATTCCCCCTTATGTATTTGAAATAAGTGATATGTATTTGTAACTTGTAAACCATAAGTGATAGAGACCTAGGGTGTTTTGGTTTGAGGTCATTGGTCAACTTAAAGAAAATTTAGGTCAAGGTCAAAGGTCAAGGTCCTCTTCTAAATTTTTATTTTGACTTATTTCTTATCAGAGGCCGTATAAGATATTGACAAAATATTTTTACTAAATTGTTATATGCAAACTGTCGTAACACATGATTTTTGGTTGAACGCGTACGTTGACATGAAATGGGAGTTTCTTCCCCTCTCATATTTAAAGCTAGTTGTATGATGATATTACTCATTAACCATATTTAGTAGAGACCTAGGGTTTTTTATTTGAGGTCCTTACTTAATGAACTTGAAATATAGGTCAAGGGCATAGGTAAATTTGACGTTCTAGATTTTGACCTTAGCATTAACTTTATTTTTATAAATGATAGAGCCAAAGAACTTCTTGCATTAGGTTGCAAGCCATATGACCTTGAAAAAGCCAACCAGAATTAAGTGACCTTGTGTGAACCGGAAGTAGCTATTTTTTGTGCTTATTTAATGTAAAAGTATATAGAACCATATATTTTTGGAATCCGTGTCAAGTAACCTATCATATTATACAAGAAGTAATATTTTACTTAACTGGAAGTATCAAATTATCTCCCTTATTTCGGACAAAAGTGTATAGAAACCATATATTTTTTTGAATCGGTACTCACTATAATCTAAGACTGGAAATGACATTTTAGACTCGATTTTGATATTTTTAGATACAGCCTAAATATGTTACACTCCTAGACAATGAAGATGGTTTCATGGTAGATTGATCACTCATCTGGAGACATAGCATGTAAGTATTTGGTATTTTTAATTGTTCCTTAAACTATGTTTATATGGTTTGCAGGTAACAAAAATCAGTTTTCCCTGGAACAACAGCTTAAATTATATTTGATTACAAATTGGTTTGAAATTTCTTTTATTCAAATTTATACTCTTATGAAGATAAGTTTAATGATAATGTATAAAAATTGTTTATATACTTGTCTTCAAATTAGGATTTGTCATAAAAAACGAATCATATTAATTTTGAATTAATTGCAACAATCAATATTCTCTATTTAAAGCTGATACTGATTTAGAATTTTTGTTTTTGTTAGATACAGACTAGATATGTTACACTCCTTGACAATGAAGATGCTTTCATGGTATATAGCACACGAAGATACATATCATGTAAGTATTTGGTCATTATAATTGTACTTTTATATCTTTTTATATGTGGAAGGTAACAAAAATCAGTTTTCCCCTTGAACAACCATTTAAAATTTATTACAAATTTGTCTAATATTTCTTTTATTCAAATATTTACTGTAATAAGTTAAGTAATTGTAAATATACTAAGTCTCAAATTTAGGATTTGACAAAACATGCATCACATTAATTTCTGAATTGATTGCAATAGCAAATATTCCCTTTTTAAAGCTGATACTAATTTACAATTTTTGTTTTTCATATAGATACAGCCTAAATATGTTACTCTTCGACAATGAGATGGTTTCATTGTATATAGCACATTAGGATTAATTACATGTATGTATTTATTCATTACAATTTTTTTCTTTAAACTAGGTTTATATTTGTTAGGCATTAAAAATCAGTTTTCACTGAAACAACAGATTGAAGCTTTATAACAAATTGGTTTAAAATTTCTTTTATTTTTATTTATATCCTAATGAAGTATATTTTAATAAGAATGTATAGGTATTGTAGATATACGTCTCCAATTTAGGATTTGACATAAAACATGCATCACATTAATTTCTGAATTGATTGCAACAGCAAATAGCTTTTATTTTGAAGCTGTAACTAATTTCAAATATTTGTTTTTGTTACAGATAGCCTAAATATGTAAGACTCCTATACCATGAAAGATGCTTCCATTGCAGATAGCATATTAGGATTAGTCACATGTAAGTATTTATTCATAACAATTGTTCTTAAAAACTATGTTTATATTTGTTAGGTAATAAAAATCAGTTTTTCCTGGAACAACAGCTTGAAATTTTATTACAAATTGGTCCTACATTTCATTTATTGAAATATTCACTGTAATGAGATATATTTTAATAAGAATTCAAAACGGAAAGCCCTAATCAAATGGCAAAATCAAAAGCTCAAACACATCAAATGAATGGATAACAACTGTTATATTCCTGACTTTGTACAGGCATTTTCTTATGTAGAAAATGGTGGATTAAACCTGGTTTTAAAGTTAGCTAAACTTCTCGCTTGTATGACAGTCTCATCAAATTCCATTATATTGACAGTGATGTGTGAACAAAACAAACCGACACAATAGGTAAACATGTCACAAATAGGGGTACAACAGCAACACGAACCCCACCAAAAACGGGGTGTGATCTCAGGTGCTCCGGAAGGGTAAGCAGATTCTGCTCCACATGTTGCACCCGTCGTGTTGCTCATGTTATAACAAAGCTGGTAAATAGTCTAATTCGGTAGGTCACATTCGTGAAAAGGGAATGGGATTGTAGTTACGACATAAGGAACACGAAGTGATGATTTCAACTTTACCATTTGGAAATCTTGGTTTTGTATGGTGATTGTAAAAATTCTTGTCTCCAATGAAGGATTTGACATAAAACATGCATCACATTAAGTTCTGAATTGATTGCAACAGCAAATAGTCTGGATTAAAAGCTGACATTAATGTATATTTTTTTTTGTTTTCGTTGCAGATAGCCTAAATATGTAAGACTCCTATGCCATGAAAGATGCTTCCATTGCAGATGCACATTAGGAATAGTCACATGTAGGTATTTGGTCATTACAATTTTTTCTTAAAACAATATTTATATTTGTTAGGTAATAAAAATTGGTTTTTTTCTGAAACCACAGATTGAAGCTTTATAACAAATTGGGCTAAAATTTCTTTCATTCAAATTTATACTCTAATGCTGAATATTTTAATAAGAATGTATAGTAATTGTTTTTATACTTTTTGGGATTTAACATAAAACATGCATCACATTATTTTCTGAATTGATTGCAACAGCAAAAAGTCTGGATTTAAAGCGGAAACTTAATTTATAATTTTTGTTTTTGTTACAGATTATACAGCCTAAATATGTAACACTCCTATACCATGAAAGATGCTGTCATTGTAGATAGCACATTAGGATGTTGCACATGTAGGTATTTGGTCATTACAATTTTTCTTAAAACTATGTTTATGTTTGTTAGGTAATAAAAATCCATTTTTTTCCTGAACAGTTTGACAAAAAGATGCTTTATGTTAAAATGGGTCTCGTAAAAGCAGACCTCTGCAGAGAGCAAACTTTAGATTTTGATATAACATTGATGAATTTAATGGGCGCTTATCTGGTGAAAACAGATCCCCCAACAGAACTGATTACATAGTATGATGAAAACTTGTGTTTATGGTAAAATGTATTTAGTTTTTTGTCTGGCTCCATTTCATTATCAACCAATTTGAAACTTTATTACAAATTGGTCTAAAAATATTTTCTTCAAATTTACATTCTAATGAAATATATTCTTAATGGAATGTATAGTAATTATAAATATTCTTGTCCAACATGCAAAAGATTAAATTCTGAAAAAATTGCAACAGCAAATAGACTCTCAAGCTGATATTAAGTGATAGTTTTTGTTAAAGATACAGCCTAAATATGTTGCACTCCTAGACAGAAGAAGATGGATTCATGGCACATAGGAAGAGTCAACATGTAAGTATTTGGTAATTACAATTGTACTTAAAACTATGTTAATATTTGGAAGTCAATAAAAATCTGTTTTCACTGAAACAATAGCTTAAAATTTTATTACAAATTGGTCTAAAATATCTTTTATTCGAATTTCAAATGTGGTATATTTTAATAAGAATGAAAGAGTAATTGTAAATTAATTGTCCGTAATTTAAGATTTAACATAAAACGTGAATCACATTAATTTTTTAATTTTTTCAACAGCCATTAAATATTCTCTATCTAAAGCTGATGCTAATTTAAATTTTTTTTTTTGTAACACATACAGCCCAGATATGTTCCACTCCCACACAATGTAGATGGTTTCATGGTAGATGGCACATTAGGATGTTTAACATGTAAGTATTTAGTCATTACAATTGTACTTTAGACTGTTTATATGTGTTGGGTAATAAATATCAGTTTTCCCTGGAACAACAGCTAAAATAAAATTTTATTTCAAATTAGTGTACATATTTTTTTTTTGTTCAAATTTATAGTCTATTGAAGTAAATTTTAACATGAATGCGTAGTAATTGTAAATATACTTCGAGTCCAATTTAGGATTTGACATAAAATATGAGTGACATTTATTTATAATTGATTGCAACAGCCAATAGTCTCTATTTGAAGCTGGTAAAGTCTTTCCACTTTTCCGTGAAAAGACTTAATGCTTTTGTTCTGATTATTATAATTTGTTTTTTCTTCCGCCTAATTTTTTTCCTTCACTGTTTGGTTGTTTTGCAAGATGTCGCTTAGATATTTGGTATATGATATCAAACAGTTTATACGCTCTTGAAACTGACACCGCTTAACCGAATACTTTTCTATGTAAAAGTTATCTCCCCGAACACTGTTTTTCTTGATATTTCTTATTCTTCGCAACCTTAGAAGAAACCGACTAATTTATTATTTCAAATTATTCATTATATCCTGGATGTTACGTTTCATTTTGGCTGAAGCGTTGCGAAGACTCCATATGAGAGTTATTCCCCCTTATGTATTTGAAATAAGTGATATGTATTTGTAACTTGTAAACCATAAGTGATGGAGACCTAGGGTGTTTTGGTTTGAGGTCATTGGTCAACTTAAAGAAAATTTAGGTCAAGGTCAAAGGTCAAGGTCCTCTTCTAAATTTTTATTTTGACTTATTTCTTATCAGAGGCCGTATAAGATATTGACAAAATATTTTTACTAAATTGTTATATGCAAACTGTCGTAACATGATTTTTGGTTGAACGCGTACGTTGACATGAAATGGGAGTTTCTTCCCCTCTCATATTTAAAGCTAGTTGTATGATGATATTACTCATTAACCATATTTAGTAGAGACCTAGGGTTTTTTATTTGAGGTCCTTACTTTATGAACTTGAAATATAGGTCAAGGGCATAGGTAAATTTGACGTTTTAGATTTTGACCTTAGCATTAACTTTATGTTTATAAATGATAGAGCCAAAGAACTTCTTGCATTAGGTTGCAAGCCATATGACCTTGAAAAAGCCAACCAGAAGTGACCTTGTGTGAACCATATATTTTTGGAATCCGTGTCAAGTAACCTATCATATTATACAAGAAGTAATATTTTTCTAAACCGGAAGTATCAAATTATCTCCCTTATTTCGGACAAAAGTGTATAGAAACCATATATTTTTTTGAATCGGTACTCACTATAATCTAAGACTGGAAATGACATTTTAGACTCGAATTTGATATTTTTAGATACAGCCTAAATATGTTACACTCCTAGACAATGAAGATGGTTTCATGGTAGGTTGATCACTCATCTGGAGACATAGCATGTAAGTATTTGGTATTTTTAATTGTTCCTTAAACTATGTTTATATGGTTTGCAGGTAACAAAAATCAGTTTTCCCTGGAACAACAGCTTAAATTAGATTTGATTACAAATTGGTTTTAAATTTCTTTTATTCAAATTTATACTCTTATGAAGATAAGTTTAATGATAATGTATAGAAATTGTTTATATACTTGTCTTCAAATTAGGATTTGTCATAAAAAACGAATCATATTAATTTTGAATTAATTGCAACAATCAATATTCTCTATTTAAAGCTGATACTGATTTAGAATTTTTGTTTTTGTTAGATACAGACTAGATATGTTACATTCCTTGACAATGAAGATGCTTTCATGGTATATAGCACACGAAGATACATATCATGTAAGTATTTGGTCATTATAATTGTACTTTTATATCTTTTTATATGTGGAAGGTAACAAAAATCAGTTTTCCCCTTGAACAACCATTTAAAATTTTATTACAAATTTGTCTAATATTTCTTTTATTCAAATATTTACTGTAATAAGTTAAGTAATTGTAAATATACTAAGTCTCAAATTTAGGATTTGACAAAACATGCATCACATTAATTTCTGAATTGATTGCAATAGCAAATATTCCCTATTTAAAGCTGATACTAATTTAC